TTTTTTGGTCTGCAGGCCTTCTTAACGCTCGCCAGAGACATTAAGGCAAAAATGGACAAGAAGCTGGTAAGAAAGTAGAGAAGTGAAAACTCTATTAATAGCTTACCCACAGTAGTTTCAGTAGGTATGGTGTTAATGGTGTTTTCTGGTGTCTGCATGTTTTCCTAATTAATGGGCTTTAACGTTATGGGCATTTTAGGAGGGAAACAACCCACAGGGCAGCAATCAAGGAGTAAAGATTACAGAACAACCCAAGAAGAGCAGTTTCTTCCGCTGCACGCTGCTGTGAGAAGACGAGTGCGTCGGCAACCACCATCGCCTTAACCGTGTCCCCCCACTGGACATAACTGGACAGAGCACGCTGATCTGTTTTATCCTTCTTCATTTGTCTTCCTCCTCCTTCTGATTTGTCCCGTCATTATGTAATTAGGAAAAGGAAAAGTCTCCCCCCCACCTTGGTTTACCAGTCTTCCTTTAATACCTGTGGATCTAACTGCTGTGGGCTCTGTTACATATTTAATCTCATTTCTTTTTTCTCCCCCATTAATTAATATTTTCAGTGTAGGCACAAGAGTGAAAGATGCTTAATGGTCACGTCCTTAAATACTAAGAAAGATTCAACCTTTCGGCAGTGACGGATAATAATTAAGGGATTTGTTCATCAAATTTGAGAGTTTTAATATCTACGTAACTAAAGAGGCTTATTTTTTAAGCAGCCGTTTCCTGAGTTTATCATGTTCAAAAGCTGATTGTGCACAGCTAAATACCATATGGATTGGATACAAAAAAATCTTAGAGATTAAGGACGTTGCATGTACAACATTGCCAAAACTCTGTGCACAGAAGAGCACTAACCAGAGGAGAAAGAGAAGTGGGAGACCTCAGTGCCCAGCTGAACAACAACAGGACAAGTCTGAGAAACACAGAGAAACGCCTCACAGTTCCTCATCTGGCAGCTTTTTAAAAGAATGTATTTGTCTAGACTAGTTTTGAAGTGAGTAGGAAGTGCCGTTGCATTTCTTTGAACAAGAATATAACTTTTTCAGGTGCGTTTTGAGCCTTTAATCCAACACAAAGGCTGATTCTCCCGACGCTGAACTAGCCGCATTGTTTGCTTCTTTAGTCAGCACAGCATTCTTCAGCTTCTTACATGATAAACTTGCGTTAGGTGACACGATGCAACATTCGAAGCCAGAGGCGATGGTTGCTGAAAACAGGTTCCTGATGAATCATTCCATTTATCATTAATTTAATGTGCTATTACGCTATTACATAAAAACAAATATCCTTTTCTTTCAAAAGGAAGGACGGTCCCCAGTCACCATAAACCTTTAGGCAGCGCTGTATTTGATCCTTATGACCAACAAAAGACCAGATTATACTTAAAGAATACGTGTATTACACTCATTTGTTTTTCTAATATTTTGATTGTCACCTGTGCTTCCAAAGTGATGCGTACAATCCCTGAACCCCACACACACAAGATATTATACTAGATATTTGTCCTGACAGGGTGGTCTAGCTCTTTCCTTACTGTCCAAATCTATGTAAATGCATTGTGTTAATATATATATATAATTGATTATGATTCACCATATTACACAGTAATGCCAGCACATGTCACTCATCATATCCACAGTGGGGTTTACGTGTCCTTTCTTCTCGTGTCTTCTGCTAAAACATTCCAGTTCTCTTTAATGTGCAATGTAATGTATGGAAGAGCCCTGATTTTTCTCTTGTGTTCACATGTCTGCAGTAGGTTTGGGTTTTTAGAAGGGGGGGTAATTTAAGGGCACACACATGCTCCTTTTTGATGTTGCTTTCCACACCGTTTTAGCAATACCTACACTGACCACCTGGAGGCAACTTCAGCTACACAGCAGAAAGAGTCACAGCAATGGTGGAAGTGTGGTTTTACGCATTTGTACTTGTTCCGGTTGTCTGTTCCAATGGGGGAACATAAACACAACTGTTTCCTGGGCCTTGGATATGTGCTGTGCTGTAGCAGTATTTATGGAGTGAAAGAAATCATAGCACCAAAATGACAAAGTGCCCTTTTATGTTCTTCTTGATTATGCACTTTTCTTCCTTTTTCTTTCTGTTTTGGAAAAAAAAAGATTTCTTAACATTTATTGTCTGTGTTTATTGCAAGTCTTAACTGAAAGCAAATCATTTGCATGCACAAGATTTCCACAGAGCCTCTCTGGGCTTCTTTAAAACATCTGAGCACTGAAACCAGAAATCTAGAGATTTTCTTTTTGTTTTCACAACATTTTTTTGTTTGTTTGTTTATGCATTCGCGTATCTTCTAATGCTTTTGGAAACCACCTTCTTCCACCTCTCCTCCTGTGTTGTTTTGGTCCAGTATTACGACCATCTAATCTATGCATTCTTGGTGCGTAGGAAACCTCAAAAGGCTTTGCACAGTTGATTTAATGAGCTTTATTTGAGATTAGAATTGTGCAGAGGATCCTTGATCTTGTTTTATTATTTTCTGCTGTCACTCCATGCAATTACATCGAGAGCTCATCAGAGGACGAAAAATAGGAAATTGAGCAAATCACGTCAAAGGCCAGATAAGCAGGTCCTTTGAAGCGGTGCTGAAGAGTCATCGAATCAAACCTGTAACAAAACGGTTTCCCTGTGGATTTAAGGAAATGTCAGCTTTGCTGGTTTAAATTTGTTTCGGCTGTTTCTTAAAATCACTCTCAGTTAAAATCAGTTCACAGCTTGATGAAAATTCAGCATTGTGAGCTACAGTCTGCCGTTGCTTTATTCTGTAATTCTCTCCCAAATGTGACAGTTCTGTGTTCACATATCTTAAGCATTCCTGAACTACAATTGGCTTTCTTCGCTGATTACTGATGGGCTTCATGTGGAATAAAGTAAATAATTCAGCAATTGTAAATAAGATCTACAATGATTGTACTGTAGTTTCATAAATCTTATTGATCTACACTTTTTGTAGATATGTGTACTTTTGATGATTTATTAAAAATGAGATTCTTATATGTGTCCAGTATGTTTTTCTGTGCAAAAACACAAAACATTTGCAGGACAAGTACTCTTGATGTTTTTCTTTAATTTATAAACAATTAGCATTACATTCAGTGTAGGTACACCTGTTCAGCTGGTTGTTGATGCATCTAACCAATCACATGGCAGCACCTCAATGCATTTAGGCATGTAGTCAAGGTCAAGATGACCTGTTCAAACTGACAGATGCTGTCCCCACTGCTGTTCTGCATAGGCCTGAACCGCCCAGGCTAGA